GAGCTGGGCTCAGTACACAAGCATCTGGACCACCTTCCCAGGGCTTTGGCTTCAGGGGCCCTCAGCTACCAGATGTCATTATTCTGCCAATTCTTGAGGCCCAGAGAGGGACAGAGCTTCATTCAAAGCCACACAGCCAGTGTGTGGTGACACCAGACCTCCCTGGCATAGCTTAGAGCCAAGAGCTTCGCTTCAGGCCCACCCAAGCTCAATGGGAGCACCATCTGCCTGGAGACTGGGCAGGGGTGGAGGAGAGGAGAGGGTGCCTGGAGAGTGATGAGCCTCAGGCCCAGAGCCAGTGGGAGGTGGGTGGGGCCTCCAGTAGGAGATCTGAGTGGGGCCCGGCAGCTGGGCATGGGGGAGCCAGCTGGCTCAGGCGGGCTAGTGGCATGCTTGCTCCCTGTGCGCGTGACAGTCTATTTTTTTAATCGGTAGCCTCCCCATCCCCCAACTCCCAAAGAGGCCTGTATCAGGAGTCATGCTCTGGCTGAGATCAGGGCCACCCTGGGGATCAATGGAAAGGCACCCCAAGTCCCATCTCTCCATGCTTAGCACTAAGCAGCCTGGAATGCAGAGCAGGCGGAGCAGGGATGAAGAGCTCCCTCCTCTGTGTGGCCTTGACTGGTCCCTGGACTCTTCGGCCTTAGTTTCCCCTGTCTATACCATGATGGGGCTATGCCAACCCCCGGGGAGCACTATACCTCGAGCGTTCGAATCTATTCCAGCCCCATAACATTAACAATGCTCACTCATCAGGCCCTGGCAGGGCCTCCCATGCTCACCGTGCCCACAGGGCACACTTAATCCTAGGAGAAGAGGGGAAGGGAAAAAAAGATGCTGAGCTGGTTCAAATGCCAACCTCAGAGCCCTCTGCCTCAGACCTAGTGAGTTTCCTCCTTCCAGGACCTGCGGAACAGAAATGATGCAGCTCAAGAACGCTGTGTGTTCTCAAGCAAGAGACTTGGTCTCTCTGTCTTTGGCACTCCATCTAAAACAAAAGAGATTGTGTGGTATACTAGTGGAGATCACAGCCTTTGGTGTCAGACAGCCTGGATTGGCATCTGGCCACTTACTAGCTGTGTGAGCCTGGAAGCTCACTTATCCAACCTTTGTGCCTCAGCTTCCCATATATAAAATGATAATGCAGTACTCACCTCATAGAGCGGTTGATGTGTAAGGATCTTGGAATAGAGCTGGGGATATAGCTCAGTTGGTAGAGTGCTTGCCTTGTATGCACAAGGCCCTGAGTTCAATTCCCAGAACCATTTAAAAAAAAAAAAAAAACAGAGAGATCTTGGAATGTTCATGGCAAATAGTAAGTAACAATAACTACAGAAATTGTGGCTTTTATCTATGAATAAAAGTAAAGCCCTCCTTGGAGATCCTTAGTCTGTTAGACATTTTATTCTAGAGGATTAGGTACAAGGGTCTCAGGGAGCCCACTGTCTTATATTGCTCATCCAATTGTCCCTTCCTTGACCCCATGTTTTCGGTGCCTTTCACACCTGTGATCGTAAATCCTTACTGCCCATTTCACAGCAGCTCAGAACTGAAGCCTGAGACCTAAAGGTTTGCCCAAGACCTGTTAGCCATTCCTGAGGCTCCATCCAGACCCCTTCCCGTTGGGCTCGTGTCCATCCTCCCGCCATCAAAACCTGTTCCTGGAAAAACATCAAAAAGTAATTTACACTGAGATAGGATGAGTCTTGGGCCCCAGTCCATCTCCTCAAAGGATTGCTATTTTCACAGAGATCAAAATATGATAATACTATTAATAAGGAGCAGCTCATTTTTAAAGCATTTTCACTCATTTCACGTTTATAACAACAGTATAGTACAATCAGAAAAATGAGAATTTATACTCCAATTGATTCAAATGTGTGAATCGCCAAGATCATTGTAATGTCATGTGTAGCTAATAAAAAAATAAAAATAAATTAATTAATTAAAAAAAACAGTATAAGGGTCTATTATTGTCTCTGTTTTATAGAAGAAGAAACAAAAGTCCAGAGAGCTTACATAATGTGCTCCAGATCTCTAGCTGACCAGGACTGGAAGCCAGGGGTCCTCCACAGCCCTTGTGCATTAACCTCAGAGAAGTGGGTAACACAGGAGCAGATGGACTCTTGCTCCACCTGCAGCATCCTGGGAGGCTGGGAGGCGGGGCAGGACAGGCTCAGCCCAGTACCACACCAGCCTGCCTCACCAAGTGGAAAAGATGAAGCCAGGACCGAGGAATTCCAGGCAGCAGCCAGTGGTAACGGTTTCATTCCAGAGAGAGGGCTTTTTGTGAGCCTCTGGAATTGCAGGGCCTGGGGGGCCGTTCCCAGATTGACTCCTCCTCTGGCCACACTGAGCAGCAATTGAACCCCAGTGCCCTAGAACAGGGCATCGTCACAAAGGACTCTGTACACACACACACTGGCCTAACTTGCAGAGACTTCCCCTAGGCCCTGGGTTGAATTCCCAGCACCACAAAAGAGATCCCTTGGGGTCTGCAGTTGACAGCCTGGGGAGTTGAGGGATATAACCAACACCCACCCACTCCCATTAGGCCATTTGCCACCCTCTGCCACACACTTCCTCCCAACCACACTCCCTCCCATTCTTCTGGACCCCAGGAAGCCTTATCAGCCTCAAATACCATTTAGACTTCTGTCCCCCACCTTCTGCTCCCCGCCCAGAAAGACCTTCTCTAACCACTGACCCAAAGTAGCTCTTCTTGCTGTTCTTCTTAAGAGCACAACTTTTTTCCATGCTAGTTTACCTATCTGGAATCACCTCGACATGTACTTGCTTCCTTGGTTTTTCTTTTCTTTCTTTCTTTTTTTTTTTTTGTCTTATCTCCTCAATTAAAATGCAAGCTCCTTGGGGGCAGGAACCTGTCTGTTCTATTTACTACTACCCCAGTTCCAAGCACCCACCCACCCATGGCTAGCCAGAGACACCCAGGTCCCTAGAGGGCAAGCGATTTGCCCAAGGTCACATAATCAGTAAGCAGGTGGCAGAGGTCAGCCTGGCACTGCAGCCTGAGCACTTGACCTTTCCTCACTCTCTCCCCGCTGACCCTCAGCCAGCCTGTCTTGCCCCTGCCTCCTCATTACAGTAGGGTCACAGCCTGCAGGTCCTTGCCAACAGTGTCCCCTTTATTTCCCTGGGGACCCATAATGCCCCTATCTAGGCAGCCCTGCCTGCTTCCCCTCTGTCCCTCGTCCCTCCCTTCCTGGCATCAGCGGCTCCGATGAGCTCATGTCTGGAAGGTTGGGAGCTGCCCTGAAGGAAAAGGTGCCTTCCAGGCCAGGACTCTGGGGCTGGAGGTGTGCTGAGACTGTGGGAAGGCAGCCCTGGCAGGGGGACGGAGCCTGCTGACCCCCACCTAGTCTGCCTCCTGGAGCTCTGGAGAGCTCAGGGAGACATCCATCCACACCGGATCACCATGACAAGGTGTGGAAGGGAGATGGAGTAGGCTCCTCCTGTGCTTCTCCCCTCCCTCCAGATGCTCCACTGTCACTTTGTACCCTCCCACCTATCAAGGATTTGTTCTTTCCCAAGGAGAAAGTGTTCGGCTGCCTTCTACCTACAGAATTGCCCTGGGCAAATTGCTTCCCTTCCTTGGTCTCCATCTCCTCTCCCCAACTCAAAAGTGGAGACTAGGTAAAATGACTCAAGAGGCTAGCCAGGAACCAAGCACCAGAATGCCACAAGTTTGTGCTCCCCACCCCCACCCCACCCCCCAGCTTAGGGAAAGAATAGAGAAGGGAAATAGCTGACCAGGGAGAGAAAGAGTTCAAGACCTTATTTTAACTAAATAAATGCTGTGATTGGAAAAATCACAACTTTCTTCAAGTGCTAATTGGCGGTGGGGGCCCTGGAGTTGGCTGATGGCTTGCAAAATGGGAGCAGACCTGAAAGGTCGAGGCCACAAGCCAGGGTGACATAGCAGCAATGATTTATGTAGGAGAAGTTCTTCAAATATCAAACTTGACTGATCCTATTTCATCCTTGTGCACAGATGAGAAACTGAGGATCAGAGAGAAGGAATCATCCCAAGATCTCATTGGGAGAATAAGGCAGCAGATGCTCCTACCACGAAAACAGGGCATTTCCAACTCTTTTGAGGGGGGCCTCAGCCTCTTTCTGAAGCAATACCGTAAGTAGTTGGGGGAGTGAACCATCAATTTCAGTTTGTGCCTTCACCCCTCAGGACGTAATGGGGGTCAGTCCTGGGGTTGGTGAGCAGGCAGGCTAGGGCCAGCAAGGCTTCCACTCCCTTGCCCCAGTGTACCCTCCTTCCCCTAATTAGCATCCCGTCTCACCCTCCACTTTCCAACAGGACAGGATTGGAGCACTGACTATTCCTACAACCACCAGCACTGTCCCAGTGCAGCTCCCCGCCCCCCCCTCAGTGACCATCCTGCCAACCTTCCTTCCCACTGGGAGCCCCAGAGAGCAAGGGGCTTACTCCAAGATCATGCAGCAAGTTGGTGTATTCCAGTGCCACCTGCCAATCAGGGTAGGGTGGAAGGGGGAATGGGACACATGCTGCTTTCCACTCAGTTCCTATCCCTTCTTTGAAAATTCAGACATGGAACACAGAGGGTCCCTGTCCCCATCCCAAATAAGCATAAAATTTGGGGGTAGTGTGGGGAAATGAAAGGAGACCTTTCCCCCAAATTCCTCTAAGGTCTTGCCAGGACCATGAATGATGCTTTCCCACCGCCTATTCCACAGCACGGAGGTTAGAAAGGAGCCCCACCCTCCACTCACTTCACCTATGGGGCCCCGATTCTCAGCAAATAGGGGCAATCGTAAGGGTGTTGTAAAAATTTGATGTGAAAAGCCCAGGGGTTTCCCTCAGCGGGAGGGCACTCTGGAAAGCCCGCGATTTCCCCAGGTGGGGTTGGGCCCGGTGGTCCACAGCGTAGCCCGGTTTCGCGTTTGGCGTCCCCGAGCTCCAGCCAGACCCCGGTGCCCGCCTGCCCCGCCCGCGGGAGGTGGGGGTGCAGGCCCAGCGCAGGCCGTTCCGCTGCCCCACGGGCGCCCATGTTGGTCCACCCGGGCAGCGCCCCACCCGCCATTCCCCCGGATCAAGCCAGCCGCACTTTCCCAAAGCGCCCATGGGGCGCAGACCCCAGGCTTCTTGCCATCCGTGAGCCGGGGGCTGCCTTGATCCGCGATCAGCTGGAGGAAAGGGGCGCGAGGGCTGGTGACCCCGCACCCCAGAGAAGAGCTTCCCGTGGTCAAGCGTCCTGCGGCTCCGGAGCTGCGGGAGAGCCCGAGATCCCTCCAGCCTCCACCACACAGGTGGGGAAACTGAGGCCCAGAGTGGAGGAGCAACTTGGCCAAGGTCACTCCGCGTTCGGCGACTGGAGCCCAGATGTGCCACCGCCTCCAGCGCGGTGCCACCAACTGCGCAGGTGGGAAGGGCGAGGCGCCAGGCGCCCGC